CTGCTTTCTTTCTCGCTTGCTTCGGTAGCTGCTAATATTAACATGCTCGTGAACCAACAATGAACAAATCTGGTTTGCGGGTTGTTTTTTTACTGGCTCCAGTCGCCCCACTGCTGAATACGCAGCTGCAGACGTTTGAAACTGGTTCCCCATTTCCCAATGCAGCTCGAAGAATGAGTTTTAGCGGACGATCCCGGAGGAGCGAAACTAGGCAGATCTCGGGACCCCTCGGAAGCAAATCCGCACTAGAAAACCACCTTTTCCAACTGTCAGTAAAACGCCTCAGTTAAATGTCTCTTGAGGAAAACAGGCCTTTAAGGTTGTCTTTAAAACGCCAGCAGGAGTGGAGCGGCTGGCCACCTTGCTTTCCCTGGAGAAGGGGCTCTGTCAGCTATAGAAAGGGCTGGTTTCCAGAGCCCCCCAAGGTCACAGTTTCTGGGGACCAGGCAGCCGCTCTCCTACACCTGCCTGATGGCCTTGTGCCTTGAGACCCACGGAGGGAAAGCTGGATACTGTCATGAATCATTCTCAGCCTGACAGAAGTTACGGGGGCGTGAGACCAAACCTTGGCCAGGAAGGCTGCTGGCAGCTAAGAAAGTCTGCAGCCCAGTGAACTAGGCGGCAAATTGGTTCTAAATGGAGAAGAGTTTGGTTGCCGAAATTCCTGTAACCCCATCCGTTTCCTCTCAACCAACGTTGCTAATGAGAATTGGGTGAGAATTTTCCTTGGGAAGAATCACTTCCTTCTGAGGCAGCTGCCAAAGAATCTGAGTTAGGAAAAAAGCAGAGAATCGTTAAGAAAAGGCAGCAGCTTTAGAAACAAAGGACTCAAGTCTGAAGAGGGCCTGAGGTGATGAATGAGAAGGTGTGTCCTCGCCTCCTTGGGCTGGATCCTCTTGGACCATCTTTTCCAGCTGGGGTCAGCGCACGTGAGCTGGGGCTCTGGAAATCGAGGTCCCCACACATCCGAAAGGAAGCTGGTGGGAAAGGCTGTTTCCGGGAGGCTCCTGGGCCCAGCAGGACACCGTCACCTCGACCTTCCCAACAGAGAAAGGAGGTGCTTACTGCACGTGTCGGGGACCACGTCTGCATTGGACTGGGCTGGGGCGCTGGCTGTCCATGTCCTTGAGCCCCTGGGCCAGTTTGGTAGACACTTGGAGTGCCCTTCCCCCTCCGCTTCCCAGGCAGGATTTATCTTGGCTCCCCCAGCGCACACACAGGTACACCACACACACACACACACACACACACACACTTCTTTTCCTCTGCTAGATTATCATTAGTAGCCTGGCAACCACCTGCAGGGGCTTTCTTACACCGAGTCTTTGTTTGTCAGGCTGCCCTTTTCCAGAGTTTTTTCTAGGAAAGGTTGCAAGAACCCAGGTAAATAAAGACACATGGTGTGCGTGTGGGGGGAGTGTGTAAATCTGCCATGCACTGTATTCTCCGGAGTTGAAAAGAACCTGAGTACGTCTCTCCGTTTTCTTGAAGATCATCTGGTGGTCACAGCTGGCAGATCAGAGCTCCGTGGAGTCAAACAGCTGGATTGGACCAAGGCCTTTTCCATCACCCAGCAGCTGGGACCCCCTGAGCAGGACGTGGGCCATTGCCCCCCTTCCCCGTGGTCAGCTCCTGATTCAGAGCTCAGGGCTGGCCAGCCCCATTCATCCCCTCTGGAACCCTTTAGGCCCTTGCGTTTCCAGCCCCCCATTCCTACACTGCATGCAGTTCATCAGCAGAACAGCCGCCAAGTCGTTCAGTCAATCTCACCTTTTCTGACCCCCACGGAGCACTCTCTCTGGATGTACCCATCAGAGGCATGGCACGCTCGGTCAGTAAATTTAACATCACAGAAAGCCTGAACACCTGCCCAGGACAACTTGCATTAAAAGGCGTGCTGGTGCCGAAAGCAACCTGACCCAAGGAAGCTGAGGCCCCATGGGATCCTCCAGCATCTTTGCGCTTCCCTCCTGAGCATGCAGGCAGCCAGGGACCCACGAAGGAGCCCTCTCAGAGGCTGGCATTAGCTGGAGCGGGCAATTTCAAGGCCTCTGCCCTTTGATTGCAGTCCTTTTACAGCTCTTTCTGTCATGTTAATGTTTTCAAATTACTGGGGTGATCTATTTTTGTGCACAAAAGCAGTTGCTTAGGGCTCAGGTCAAGCTGTTGAGCGCCTGGTTACCTTCTCTGAGAAGCCAGGGGAGGACTCTCCGCCCTGCCATGCCTCCATCTGTTTGCCCATGTTTCAGCCCAGTGCAACCAATGTTGACATACTCCGGGAGCCAGAGAGGCAGCAGGAGGAGAGCTGGTTGTCCTGGACCGCCACAGCTTTCATGCTTCTCTTTCAAACTGGTGCCCGCTCACTTGCGGTCCGAGGCCTGGAAGGGGAGAGGGGGGCTCTTGGGATGGCTCCAGAAGGCCTCCTCAGGCTTCCTCGTCTTTGGGTGCTCTGGTGCTTTCCAGAAAAAAGTGCCTGGAACACCGAACTCGCATATGTGAAATACACAAACATTACACAGGTGTCCACGGAGTTTCCCTTGAACCTCTGGCTGCCTTGCGACGGGAACAGCAATGGGTGAAAAGGAATGGCCTTGCTCTTCTTAGCTGCTCTGGCTGCTGTGGAAAATTCACATCAACTGTTTCTTACAGCTTCGGCCAAAGGGTTTCAGGAAGAACAGTTTTGTGTTGAGAAGGGCGGAGGCATGGCTGGGTCCCCCAAGGAGCAGCAGAAATGAGGATGTTGGGAAGACAGATTTACGCCTCTGTGTCCACTTCAGGAAGAAAGCGGTTTCTTGGCTGATGGATTACTTCCTCCACTCAGTTTCAGTTGCTCCTGGAGGCCGCAAATGAAGGAAACCAGGGCGCCATCCCCAGCTCTGCCCTTCTGCTCGTAGGATGAGGAGGAGACCCACGTAAGACGGGATGAGGCTTGGCTCACCACCGCACAAGGCTCTTCCCACACGCGCAGTCCGCCTACCCCAAACACCTTCGGCTAGCCTCTGGTGGCCGTGGAATTGGCCCTTTAATTATGAATACCGCTTCACTATTTAACTGAAGGACACAAATTTACGACTTAATTGACGCTGTGTGAAATTTAGCAGCACTTACTGGCCTGTGGCTGCAAGATTTTAGAATTCCGTTTGCCTGCTCTGAGTTAAGTCGGACGTGGCCAAGCCTCTTGCCACGCGTTGGTGTGGGGGAGAATTTAACCATTTCTTCCCTTGGTTATTCCAAACACAGCTGCTGCTGCTGCTGCTGCTGCTGCTGCTGCTGCTGCTGCTGCTGCTGCTG